ACCGAGCCATTGCCCGCGCTCTGGCGTTCATTAGCCCTACTGCCGTGCAGGTCCCCACAGGGGTCTTTCCATGGCCTGATGGGTGCTGGGCAAAAGATCAGAAGCTACAGCCGCGGAACACAAGTCGATTCTAGAACCAACGCCCACACAGCCGAGGATGGACGGCTCATAGAACACGCCTGACATCAACTGGCGTTTCGTTGACGGAGGAGAGCCTCCACTCCGCGCATAGTGCACAACAGAGAGCAGCCCCACCTGCTCTCAGACAGCCCAATCGACGTCTTAGCGCCCCTGCTCGATACCTGCGGCTGGTGCTCCAGCTTTCCAAGTCGTCTCCTAAACCGTGCGAGTGTAAACACACGGGTATTTTACAACAGAAAGTCATATGATGAACGTCTGCAGGGCCCGCGAGACAGTGACCTCTGCGCACCGGTGATGAAGCCGAGGGAGGAGGAGGTGGACAGGGCTCCTGGGGGGCCTCAGCGCGCGGCACTTGGCACACCTGGCCCTGAGATTCGTTCCTCCACGGATCCGACGGGATCAGCGGGAGAGCATTCAGCGAGCTGGCAATGGCACGCAGATGCTAGAATATGGAACTCTTAAAGTGCGGGTTTCCTTCCGGGAAGCGCCCGCCACGGAGCTTGTACGATCAGACTGCTCGGCGCGCGCGCGTCACCGCGTCGCCCCCCGGGGTGACGCCGACACGGTGAGAGCATGGGATCAAGCGCCCCTTGGATAAGGAACCCAGGGTCTGGAAGCCGCTGGAGCAACACCTGCCGCCCTTATCGAATAAGGGAACCTCCAAGGTCTGAAGCCTCCTGGGCACCTGCCTCAACGAACGCCCCCACACCGTGCAGTCAAAACTGGTAGTAAGGAAATGCGCGGTGACGATGCAGGCCCCTCGGACGCGCATGTTGAAGTGTTTTCGAGCAGAGCGGGCCATCGAAAGTAGTCAAGGATGGACCGAAGAGGACAGGATGCAAGGGTACCTCTGGGAAGGTTACCCATCGTGAGCGTTTTCTTACTCGGCGTTTCCATATTTGGAGGAAGGGGGAGGGTCTGGCTCCGGACCTCTGCTTAGTGCGACTGTCTGCAGCAGTGCGTCCTGCGGGGGAGACTCCACCTGCTTGAAACAGGCGCCAAAAGCAACCAAGATCTGCTCCATGGAGGGGGGGGGGGAATGCGAGGGCCAGCGCCGATCGGCAAAACAACGAGTAAGAAAATTACCACATCCTTGCTATCGGTTTCGACTGTACCCTGGCGCCGTGCGCAGGCAGGGCTTGGCGCCGGCGGGCCTTCCGGGGCGAAAGGCCATTCATCGAAGGGCCTCAAGTGGGCCACATTCGGCGGAAGCCGCCAGCTGCCTCGAGGAGGCGGTCCGACGCCCCCCCAGTGAAAATCGATGGCAAATTGGGGCCTTCCGGTCGGGGTGGGGTGGCTTGGTGGGTGGTGATTTGTTCGCCGATGAAGAACCAGCAGGCAGCAGTGGCCCCTTGAACTCGACCCGGGGGAGAGGAGCTCCCCAGACTTTCGGCGACAACCGAACGTGTTTATGTACCCTTCTGGCACCCGGGGGCGCTCGAGGACCGCCCCAAGGCGGCCGAAGAGGCTCCCAAAGCACCCACACGAGAGCCTCAAGACGGCCCCAGAGATCTCCGAGGCGGCCGTAAGGCGCTCCAAAGAAAGCCCCAACACTGCCAAGAGAGGCCCCCAAGACGGCCTTCGAAGGCCAAGAGGCCGCTGAGAGGCCCCGAGACGCCCAAAAGAGGCCCCAAAGAGGCCCCCAGAAGCCCCCAGGAGGTCCCAATATGCTCCCAACAAGCCTCCTGTTCCGCGTCCTCCTCCTCCACCGCGTTTCTCCTCCCTCTCCACCTCCTCTCTCTTTCTCCCCCAAGTGCTCCCCCAAGGGATTCCACAACGGCTGGAAAGACATATAATCAAAATCATTTGCCAAGCGTTGGCCCAAAGTTTGGCCACATTGGCGTTTACATAAATCACAGAGGCTGCGGTGACTCGCCGATGACGTCTTCGATCTTTTCAACAAAATTACAAATATGCAGAGGACCCCTTCCACATAACACTGGCATCGTAGTGCCAGACCTGGTGCGGAAAGTGGTTCTTCGAGAAACGTGGAGCGCTACACTTTGAGACCCAAGACTCATAGAACTGCAGTGCCGTGAGGCTGCGCAGATACGGACAGGAATTGTATGCAGACCATGCTGCCACGGAGTGGCTGCGGGAGCTAGCACCAATCATACTCTTGCGACGTAAACTGTATGCCCCGTGCTTCTGCTCGACATTGTGCCATCCGCCCCATCACAACACACAACCTGGTAAGGCGGCGTGGCCCCCTTCGACTCCAATCCGGCGCGCCCGTCAACAAGGTGGCGCGACGTGCATGCCAGGGGCAAGCTCGCGTGCCTTACCTAGAGAGGAGAAGAGTGAGAGAGAGAAGATATTTGATGATTGACTTGCATGTGGCACAATACCTGCTGTATATCTATATACATATATGAATGATTTTCATGTGGAATACCTATATATATATATCATGATTGACTTGCATGTGGCACGATACCTGAAGTATATGTTGCGCGCGCCTGCGGAGGTCGGAGCACCTGCTGGCCTAGAAATAGGCGCGAAGCGCAGTCCTCCGTTGGAAACCCCGGGCCGCGCAGTGTCGGTGGCGTCTGTGTCCCGGTGCGGAGCCTTTGGAATGGCAGGCTGAGGTTACGATGCGTTGCGTTCCGTATCCTCCTCACCCCCAGACAGAGAAAGAGGCGACCAAGGCTGGACAAAGAGAGGCCCCATGGCGGCAGAGGCCCCCCGCCCGTCGAGCTCGCTGATGGCTCTGTCCATGTCCTCGCGGCTGGTGAACTCCTGCAGCCCCCCGCCGCCCCTGCCAAAGTCCTCCCCGGACCTCCAGCGTCTTGAGCAAAAACGAAGCGGCGATGCTTCGTCCTCGGGAGCCCTCCCCCCACTTCGGGACCTCGGGGGGCCGCGTCCGCGCCCCCAGACCCTCAAACAAGAACTACCCAGGATGAAAAGCCAGCCCTGGGTATGTTTTGCTGCTTTCCAGGAAAAAAAAACTAAGAAAATGAGCGGGGCTTCCAGGGACCCCGAGCCTCCTCCTCCTCCTCCTCCTCCTCCTCCTCGTCCTCCTCCTCCTCTCCTCCTCCTCCTCCTCCTCCTCCTCCTCCTCTCTCCTCCTCCTCCTCCTCCTCCTCCTCCTCCTCCTCCTCCTCCTCCTCCTCCTCCTCCTCCTCCTCCTCCTCCTCCTCTCTCCCCCCCCTGCGCGGCTGGCCCTCATCTTCCCCCCCCCTCTCTTGCATTCGGGGTGCTTCGCAATGCCGTGGCAAACGGGCGCGCGCGCGCGGACTGCCTCTGCCGCGCCGCGGCCTGAGAAGTGCTCGCCCGCGCCAGTCTGCGCGCCAATGTGTCTTACCACACGGATCTAGCATGCGCTCGGCAAGTGTCTGCTGAAATTTGAACACCGTTGGCGCAGCACACGTACGCCCACGCAGGATTGTCCGCCCGTTCAGGTTTGCCCGCCTGTCTAAGCCCGCCGCCCCCCGCAAAGGGAAATAACCCCCCCAAAGGGGGTGTGACTGGTACGATGGCCACCTGCACGTACGAAACGCTAGGTCCATGGCGATGCCTATCGCACTTCCCACTGCAATGACACAGGTGCGCGCGTGGTGCATTCATCTGCAGGCTGTCTCCCGTCTCGCGCCATCTGCAGCGACTCCCCACGTGCACCCTGGAGGCCCAAACATGACAACACCCGCACCTCACTCCCGTGCTTTGGCAAGCATGCTCTGCATACGCTGCCAATGCGTTGATGCTCGCGTGCCTGGCACGCGCGCAAACCAATCCACAGGCGTCGCATTACACAGCAGGCCGCCATCATCCAGCAAGAACGATCCCAATGTCTTTCCCAATCAAGTTGATCCACTAACCTGTGCCGAGTACCACGCTACTAAGCCCATCCTGAAATAAAATCCTCGTGTGCTGTTTGACATGTACTTCCTTCTGCTGGATGGTACTCGGCACGTTGCCGTGCCCTCGTAGGTGCGTAGAGGATGAACTGCCTCATGGTCTGGCGTTTCGTCGCGGCCCCCCAGCTCGACATGTACGCGTTAACCCAGTCGACCGTGGGATGCGATGATCGGGTATCTTCTGACCCGGGCCAAGTCCAGACAGACCCGAGGCAGTCAGGCCTTGCAAAATCCTGCACGATCCTGCACCCAAACCCGGGTCGATGCGAAGGATCCTGCAGGATCCGGCTGGATCCTGCACCCGAGCCCGGGTCAGGGCGACCCTGGCCCTGCAGGATCCTGCAAGATCCGGCGCTCTGGCAGACCCCCGTTTGCGTTGATCCCCGTCTCTGAAGGGGCCCACAGACACACAAATAAATACAAACAAAAAAAATATTCCCCATGTTTTCGTATATTTTCTGGGTTTTTGTCTTCCCCCCCACTTCCCATATTTTCCCATATTTTCTGGGGAATCGACGATTAATTGTGTCTGTGTGTGTTTTTCCCCTCCTGAGTCTCCTGAGCCCCGAGGTGAATCCTCACACGTTCATCCAGACCTGCCATCCCCATTGGTCACGAGCGCCCTTGCATAACCGATCGCGGCTTCTCTGGTTCCGTCGGGCTGCGGCAACCTCTGGGATGTCCGCCCTCCCCTGGGAACGCCATACAAAAAACAGGAGCACTTGCTTCTAGCATCTGTAAAACACAGGTGTCTGCAAATGTGTTGGTGTTTAACCCTTCTCACCCGTCATCCCCCCTGTTCCCCCACCTGTGCCCTCGAGAGACAAAGAGAGAGAGAGAGAGAGAAAGAGAGAGAGAGAGAGAGCAGAGAGAGAGAGAGAGATAGCAGGGAAAGATTGATAGGGAGCGCCGCCCCGGCGGCCCCTCCAGGACGCCAGTGCGATCGCGATTGGTCCTCGAGAAGGTGCACTGGCCGACTTTGGCCATCTTCGACCCCAGACCCTCGCGGCATACGCGTCTCGCATGGTCCCGCCCGCTCTCGGTGGCAGAGTGGTCGTCGTCGTCGTCATCGCCTATTCGTCCTCCGGACTCCCCTCTGCCTGCTCCGTCCTCTCGTTACTCTCCCACCCATCCCCCTCCTGATTTGCCTGGCTGTCTTTCCTCATCATCAGCATCATCATCATCATCATCATCATCATCATCACCATCATCATCATCAGCATCATCACCATCACCATCATCAGCATAACCATCATCAGCATCAGCATCATTATCATCATCAGCATCATCATCAGCATCAGCATCATCTTCAGCATCAGCATCATCAGCAGCATCATAATCACCATCACCATCACCATCAGCATGAGCATCACCATCATCCTCATTATCAGCATCATCATCATCATCATCATCGTCATCATCATCAGTATCAACATCATCATCATCATCATCATCATCATCATCATCATCATCATCATCATCATCATCAGCATCAGTATCATCATCAGCATCAGCATCATTCATCTCCTCCTCCTTCTCCTCCTCCTCCTCATCCTCGATGCGCCGTTGGACGAGCCTACAGGATAATCCCTTCCATTCTCTGTGCAGTTCCGCTCTGGCCTCGGCCTCAGCCATGGGTGCTCTACGAGGCGCCGTCGGACCTCCTCGCCCGAGTTGATTGTTTCCCGCTCGCACGGGAGCCTTCCTCCCTCTCTCTCTCTCTCTCTCTCCCATCCGTCCCTCCCTCCCTCCATCCTCTCCTCCTCCTCCTCCTCCTCCTCCTCCTCCTCCTCTTCACCATCCTTATCCTCCTTTTCCTCCGCCTCCTCATCATCTTCCAGAGCGTTCTCCTCATCCTAAGCCTCCTTATCCATATCTCCGTCGTCGTCATCGCGCCATCGCCACCGTCACCGTGACGGTCCGTCATCGCATTCGTCGGTACCACCATCACGATCACCAAAATCATCATAAGTGGCCGATAAGGGACGCGTTTCTTCGTGCAGATGACTGCGCGCGCGGGGGAGAGGGAGAGCGAGAATGAGGAAGGAGGAGGAGGAGGAGGAGGAGGAGGAGGAGGATTGTTGTTCGAACGCCCTGGAGGTGCAGAGGTTGTTTGACCCACCTCAGCCGAGCAATGTCGGCGAGTCCCTCTTGCCGCGGCTATGGTTGGAGACCGGCTCAGGGGTTCATTGACTGACTCGGCCGAAGGACGATTCACTGGCCAGGCACCCCGCCAGAGTTCCCAACGTTCCAACACGTGTGGGAGGAGAACGCACTCTGGGGGGCGGCGACACCACGGATAAACATCGCAACCACTGGCCAGTGAACAAACAGTGTTCTGCTGCATTGAAAATTCCACGCAGCACTGAACGCAGAGCGTCAAAAATATATTGCACAGCGCGAGGTAGCAGTACCCACCCCAGCACAGCCTGAAATACATCACAGAGTGAAGCCCTGCTGACAATATGGACTGGCACTTAAGGCGTACCCACCTCTTCAGGAAACTCAATGCAGGTTCTCTGCCTCGCGGCAGGGCCCCGGACGAAATTCGTTGAACAAATTGCAATCAATGTGCGACGGCGGTGCCATTCCGTTATCAGAAATGAACGATACACGCGCGGAGATACACTGGCCCTTGATGCGTATCCACAGATCCAGGACGCTACAGCCTCCCTGCAGGGCCCTGGGCGCGAAGCGTTCGATATGAATACAGAAAGGACAACGCAACATGCGTCATCAGGAAAACATCGAATGTGGATTGACACTTATGGCGTGCCCACCCTTCAGGACACGACTGCAGAGGAGCTCCCATGCAGGAGGGCCCTGGACGCGGAGCGTGTGAATTCGTTGAACAGCACGTGGTAGCCGAGGCCGGCAACGGCAACAAGTCAAGAGTGAAACCTGGTGATGCTGCCTGGCATTTAACTCGTACCCACCTCTTCACCTCGAACCAGGACCTTAGGCGCAAGGCGTACGAATATAATGCAAACAGACAACACAACACACGCAATAGCCGAGGCCTCCATCAGAGGTGTCGAGAGGTGCGAAGCAACATAATACCCGAGCGCTCAAACGTCAACGCACAAGGTTCGGGTAGACGACGTGGCTGCCGTGGTCCTCGCCGTGGTACTAACGCGGTGCGAACGTAGTGCTAACGTGGAGCTGAGTAGTGCTGGCGCTGGCGTACTGCTGCGTAGTGGATGTCCTCTTGGTGCGCCCGCGTCCCGATACCCTAGTTTTGGCACCAAGTGGTCGTGCCGGATGCATCCCCAGATGCACGCGTTTGAGATTCTCAGTTCCTTCGAGAGTTGGCTTGCCGCCTTTCGGCATGCACACCTCCGCGAGATTGGTTTGTCTGTGGCCAGCAACATAGCAATCACAGTTCGCACAAATATCAAGTTCCAGATTTCCCACCACCGACATATTGCGCGCAGGGTGTATCTTGGCCAACTGAGAAACTGAGGCACGAGGTCGGCGTGGCTTGATGCGTCGCCCACCCGTTTGTCCAGTCCTACGAGGTTCTTTGAATAATGTGATGGTAAGTTGTCGTTGTACACTCTTGCCGTAAGTGAAACACACCATCCGCCTGCGTTGCCACGCATGATAGCCATGTTCTGCAAGCGCCAACTTGCATGCTTCAAAACGCGGGGGGATGTTCTATTTGGACTCGGCATCCTGAACCAGGTCGGCGAAGACCTTGACGCTGTGAGACCTGATTGCGGCGCCCATGACATCCGCGTGTCCCATGCAACTTGCATCCGCACCCGATACTGCGACTCGTTATGCTAGTTGGCCGGCTGATTCGTCCACTGACTCGTTAGCCAGGAATTATACCATGTTGACTCCTCTCGAAGGCGCCTCCTGCGCTGCGAGATCAGACTCAACTTTGCGGCCAACTATCAATGTTTCAGGATGCCAATGACATGCCGCTGCAACTTGGGTCCCACATATTTTGGTTGGATACATGTCGGAGACCTGCCAAGCACCTGCTTTACTCTTTGACGACGCATGCTGAGCCGGTAACATGCGTGAGCAGTCTGCAACTCGCGGCCACTCGGAAGGTCGGCAGCAATGTCTCCTCCATCGATCCGTTGGATCATCGTCGGCAGCAATGTCTCTATGTCGGAAGTCGTGCACCAAGCCAGTCCTGATCAATGCTGATCACCGAGCTTGATAGGAAAACTGTGGCCCATGCGATCCGTTTGAATCATGTGTCCGATGAGCGTGGCCCCCCATTGGCACCGCCGCCTGCGAGGATGCGCGCATTGTCAAGGACGGAAAGAAACGGTCATCTGGCCCGCGTTGCACGAGAAGCGGCTGATAAGGAGGCCTGGCATCTGGACACCAGTCCTTGGGTGTGATGCCTCGATACCACTAGGTAAGTCGCGCATGCCCCTGCCCTGCTCCTGCACGACGCAAAAAATCCGAAATGTTGGGCGAGCCCTGATTACAATCACAATGCCAGTGCGCATGCTTGCCGGACTCTGCTAGCTTCTTGTCCACACCTTCTGCATGGGCGAAACAATTGAAGGGCTAACCACACTTGCGACTGCGTTATAGGGTCCACGTCTCACCTGTGAGCTCGGTCTCCATTGCGCCTGCAAACTCATGTTTAGCCCTGTCGCATAGACGGCGCAGGTACATACGAGGACCGTCGGGGCACAGGCTCTCCTCGATTGATCCTGCAACGGCCGTTCGAAGGCCACGCAGATCAGCCGACTGCGCGCGAAAACTCTCCCTTCCCGAGATTGCTGGCCATCTGGGTCGATATCATCTGTTGGCCCATTCAGCTGCCAGTCCAGGCCCAGTGAAGCACCTATGATGGCCGCGGTAGGCCCGACAACCCTGCGCCACGCTTGACGCGCGCGCCTTCCTGAATCGGCTGCGTCGCTCACGATGTCTATCCCGCGCTGGAAGGCGTTGAACGCGCTGGTGATCGACTGGTCTTTGTCGCCACATCCTAGAGCGATCGCAGTAGTCGAGCAGCGCCCCACACTCGAACGCGCCAGCATGCCAAGAAAACTCCGCCCCTTATCGCGCGCACGAAGCGGGGTGCCATATACTTCGTCGCCCGAGCTGCCCATGGGACTGCAATCGAGCGCGCGGAGCTTGCCTCCAATTTGTTTGCGATTGACCGATGCGCGCGCGAACCGCGAGACGCGCTTCCACCTTGCCCCAAGTTTAGCGCGTCTGCTCCTAAGCCTGGGTCTCCACAGTCACACTCTTTCTCGTTCTACTCCGAGGTCTGCACCGGCGAGCTCCGCGCGCACGGGGTCGCCCATGCGGCCTCGGAAAGGTCGGTGGATGAGGAAATGATGGTGGATTTGCGCGACATAATAATCCCCGCGGCCACGCAGACTCGGGCAAGAGTGACGCCTGTTTCAATCATAACACGCGCTGCTGCAGCCATGGCGCCTTCCGCGCGATGGACCAAATCGGCAGCCCAGGATGGCAGCGCGAACGGGGGCGGGCAATTGCCAGCTGCCTCGCAAACGAAATTGAATCTGAATCGGCCCAGGTCAACTGCTGCATTGGATTGCGGAAGCAAGCTGAGATCGACGCGCAAGTTCTCGAGGAACAGCCAGGCCCATGGGTGGCACTGGCACGCGCGCGAGGATCTCGAGAATTGATACTCGCATGGGAAACTCAATTCTTTGTCTTCTGGATCATGCGAACCCAATCGAGTGAGTCGCAAAAGTCTTGGGCGTCGCAACGCACGCCGACGCGGTGGGGGTGTTTGGAATCTGGGAGAGAACTACTTGTTCGGCTTCGAATACTCTGCCCACGGCCAACCTCACTGCGTATATGCCTTCGGTCGCTGCATCCCACAGTCCAGCCCTGTGAGACGCCCATGCCGCCCCTCCGATGACCCCGTCGTTCCCCTGATGCACGCGAGCCAAGATACCGGTCCAATCGATCGAGCAACCTCCGTTGATTTGCGTTTTTTTTGGGACGGGCTGATGTTGAGCACGGGTTGCCGGGGCCATGCCAGCTGCTGCCCT